TTCTTGGACTTGGGTGGCTATTTCCTTCCCCATTTTAGGGAAGTTTTCAGCTATTATCTCCTCGAGTATTTTCTCATGGCCTTTCTTTTTGTCGTCTTCTTCTGGGACTACTATGATTCGAATGTTGGGGTGTTTCACATTGTCCCAGAGGTCCCTGAGGTGGTCCTCATTTCTTTTGATTCTTTGTTCTTTTTTCCTCTCTGCTTCACTTCCTTCCACCATTTTATCTTCTACCTCACTTACCCTATCTTTTGCCTCCATTATTCTACTGATGGTTCCCTCCTGAGTTTTTGATCTCATTTATTGCATTACTCACTTTTAATTGTCTCTTTTTTATTTCTTCTAAGTCCATGAGAAACATTTCTTGCATCTTCTCAATCCTTGTCTCCAGGCTATTTATCTGTAACTCCATTCTGTTTTCAAGATTTTGGATCATTTTTATTATCATTATTCTAAATTTTTTTTCAGGTAGATTCCCTATCTCTTCCTCTTGTTTGGCTTGGTGGGCATTTTTCATGTTCCTTTACCTGCTGGGTATTTCTCTGCCTTTTCATCTTGTTTATATTGCTGTGTTTGGGGTAGCCTTTCTGTATTCTGGTGGTCTGTGTTTCTTTTTTATTGTGGAGGTTTCTCCCAGTGGGTGTGGTTGGACGATTGGCTTGTCAAGGTTTCCTGTTTAGGGAAGCTTGCGTCAGTGTTCTGGTATGTGGCGCTGGATTTCTTCTCTCTGGAGTGCTATGGAGTGTCCAGTAGAGAGTTTTGAGATGGGTCTGTGGGTTTGGTGTGACTTTGGGCAGCCTGTATGTCGACGCTCAGGGCTATGTTCCTGCATTGCTGGAGAATTTGTGTGGTATGTCTTGCTCTGGAACTTATTGGCTCTTGGGTGGTGAAGAAGATAGAGATGAGCAGGAGGAGAAAAGGGGGACTCAAGAGGAGAGAGACAGATCTACGCAGTACTCTGTTCCCTAAGTGCTCTCCGTAGCCCAGAACACCCACAGAGATTCACAGAATTGGATTGAGAAGCGAAGGGGGATGGAGGAAATAGAGGTGATCTGGGGGAGAGAAAGGAGAGTCAAAAGGGGGAGAGAGTAATCATCACACTCCTGAGTAAAAATGGGTACCGAATATTGGATTCTTAAATAACCAAAATTGATATCAAATACTGGCAAACAAAGATTAAAAATCTAGAGTAGAGGTTAGACTCTTAAAAATACAATATTAAAAACAAAAACACAAAAAATTTAAGAAATGTATATGAAGTTTGCTTTAAAAATAGGGTCTTTTTTTGCAAGGTTATAGTGGGTTATGAAAGTGAAAATTAAGGAGTAATAGAGGAGTAATAGAAAGTGAAAGTGAAGTTGCTCGGTCGTGTCCGCCTCTTTGCAACCCCATGGACTTTAGCCTACCAGGCCCCTCCCCCCATGGGATTCTCCAGGCAAGAATATTGGAGTGGGTTGCCATTTCAAAAAAAAGAAAGAAAAACCTTAAAAACATTTTTTTAATTAAAAAAGTAGTAAAATTATATCTAGGATTTTCTTTGGAGCTGTTGTGGGCAGTGTGGGCTCAGTTCAGTTTCAGATAGCTCCTTGTTCCAGCTTACACTTCTCGGTATCTATAGGCCCCTTCCAGTATAGTCGGTGTTAACTACAGGGATTTTAATCTGTTGCATCTGTCACTTCTGAAGCGATTCCCTTTGTTTATTTGGCTTGTGTTTGCAGGTCTCTTCAGTGTCTAATTTCCATCCTGACACACACGGGCGGAGGTGGTCTCTTGTTTAGGTTCGCTTGTTCAGTCGTGCTGTGGGGAGGGGGGATACTGCAGACGTATCACTGGCGTGTGTGGGGAGCACTCGCAGTGTTCCATCCACAGTGTGTTTGTCCCCGCTCACGGCGTGTGTGCTTTCCCTGTCTACACTGCTCAGGCTCCAGGCTGCTCTACAGGGAGCGGGCCCTGAGGTGCGTCCCTTCCGAGGCCTGAACCGCTCAGGTTCCAGTTTTCGGGTCTTCCACAAAAGCGTGGACTCGGTTGTGCCTGCGTTTTGTGCCTTCCCCAGCCCGAGCAGCTCAGGCAGCCAGGAGGTTGGCGGGCACACTCTCCCTGGGTGCGGTGCGCCTTCTCCCCTCTGCAGTTCCAGCCTCAGTTTCCGCCTGTCCAGCGCGCCTTGTGTCTCTTCTGGGGAGCTGGTCTCTAGCTGCGACCCTCCCGGCAGATATCAATCCTCCAGAATCTCAAAAAATCTTTGGTTAGAGACTGGAAACCTATTTGCAGTTTGGTAGGGGATGCTGTCTCTGGGGCCAGATTTGCCCCTTTCCCCTCCCCCCTGCCTCCTGACTCCGGCGGGGGGATGGGCCTGTCCACAGCCACTTAGCTCTTCTCCGGAATTGCTCAGTCTTTCCTTTGTTCTGCAAAGGGCCGGCAGTGTCTTCAGTTAGGGCTTTTCGCAGGTTAATTTTCTCTCTCTCTCTTGCTATCCCACAGTTTAAGTTGCCATCTCAGGTTAGCTCCCTCCGATTGCCTGCAGGGGATTCAGGCATGGTTCTTACCATAAGCAAAACTTCCCGCTCCTCTCCGTTCAGCCCCCACTAGCTGGTGGCAGATGCGAGCGTCTGGGGTACTTTTCTGCTGGGAGTTGCTTTTAGGCATGTCATCCGTGGGTTTTATTTATTTTTCCTCCCAGTTAGGTTGCTCTCTGAGACTGGAAAACTTCCCCCATACCCGTAAGTGAGAGGGTTTCCTGGTGTTTAGAAACTTTCTCTATTAAGACTTCCTTCCCGAGACAGGTCTCCATCCCTAACTCTTTTGTCTCTCTTTTTATCTTTTATATTTTGTCCAGCCTCCTTTTGAAGAAAATGGGCTGCTTTTCTGGGCACCTGATGTCCTCTGCTAGTGATCAGAAGTTGTTTTATGGAGTTTGATCAGCTTTCAGATGTACTTTCCATGAATTTGTAGGTGAGAAAGTGGTCTCCCCATCCTATTCCTCCGCCATCTTAGCTCCAATTTCCATGTGGTAATTTAAGTCCTAATTTTCTATGCAGAGTGAATTAAGTCAGAAAGATTATATAATATTATATATTATATAATATTAGATTATATAATATATTAGATTATATTATATAAGATTAAATAATATACAGTATTGTATATTAACACATATACATGGATTTCAGAAAGCTGGTACTGATGAACCTATTTGCAGGGCAGCAGTAGAGTTGCAGACATAGAGAACAGACTCGTGGACACTGGGGGAAAGAGAGGGAGGGACAGACTGAGGGAGTAACATTGAAAACACACACATTACCATATGTAAAATAGATAGCCAGTGGGAATGAGTCGTATGACACAAAGAGCGCAAACCCGGTGCTTGTGATAGCTTAGAGGAGTGGGATGGGCTGGGAGGTGGGAGGGAACTTCAAGAGGGAGGGGACATACAGTATACCTATGGCTGATTCATATTGATGTGTGGCTGTAACAAACACAATACTGTAAAGCAATTATCCTCCAATTAATAGTAAATAAATTTAATTATGAAAAGAGATAGAGAAGCAAAAAGATATTATAGACCTTGAAATGGGATCTTGTGTGGGACCACAGGGACATCTACCTGCCTGTAATAGCACCTGTTCTTAAAAGACTGTGTTTGGTAAGATAAGGTCATCTTACTTCCTCCTGTTGGGACACAGGCTGATTGGGTTTTACTATCTCACAGGCATCAATTCAGGAGAAAGAGGAGCTTCTCTGCCAGGAGCCCAATTGAGGAACCTGAGTGAGTACTCAGTGCATTTATCCCATCCCTTGGATTTCAGCCCAGGAAATCTCAGGGAAGGGCTGTGAGGTTGAGCAATTACTTCACTGCTTTATACCAAGTCTAGGGGAGGGGAAATGTCTAGTCTGAAGGTGCAGCCACCAGTCAGCAAATGGAGAATTGTGCCCAATGTTTTAAGGAGCCAATGTAAGAACCATGAATGGTGATCCCAGTGAACTCGGGATGGAAAAAACCCTACTGAGCCCTCAGCACTGGGTTTCCCCTGGGAGGGAGGTGGCCTGAGATATCCCTTCACTTGGCTTCTGGATGATGTGGAGGTCTAAAGTGTCTACTTCAGAATAGCAGAGGGAAGGGTGCCCAGGCTCTGTCAAGGCTTGACATGACTAAAGATGAGCTGAGAGGACTGCAATGCTGGTAAATCCAAAGCAGCGCTGAGAGGATGCAGAGGGAAAATCTAAGGCCTCTGTTCCTCCTCTGGGGGATTCTGTGGGGACAGGTGAGCACGAAACAGGAGCCTTGTGGGTTCCTCGGGCAGTGTCCTCAAGGACACCTGCAGAGGCGGCCTTTGATAAAGTCAAGTTGGAATGTCCCCATTTTAAGTTGCTCACATCGACTCATTCTCCGTCCTCCAGGTGCACCAATCTCCAGTCCTTTGACCCAGACTCCTGCCTGTAGTTCCTGTCCACGGCCATCATGCCCCGTCGGCAGAAGAGTAAGGTCCATGGTCATGAGACACGTCACCAGGCCCGGGCTGAGACCCAGGGTCTTCATGATCAAGCCACCACATCTAGGGGAGAAGAGACCACCTCCTCCTCCCCTCCTGATTTAGAGAGTGCTCCCTCAAGCTCCTCAGCTGCTGGCACCCCGAAGGTGCCTCAGGGAGCGCAAGGCACCACCAGTGCTGCTGCAGGTGCTATACCCAAAAGACGTGGTGTCGGTGCTGCAGCACGCTCAAGATCTGATGTCAGTGGCACAGCACGCTCAAGAGCTGGTGTCAGTGCCACAGCATGCTCAAGAGCTGGTGTCGGTGCCACAGCATGCTCAAGAGCTGGTGTCAGTGCCACAGCACGCTCAAGAGCTGGTGTCAGTGCCACAGTGTGGTCAAGAGCTGGTGTCGGTGCCGCAGCATGCTCAAGAGCTGGTGTCGGTGCCGCAGCATGCTCAAGAGCTGATGTCAGTGGCGCAGCACACTCAAGAGCTGGTGTCAGTGCCACAGCACGCTTAAGAGCTGGTGTAGGTGCTGAGGGCCAAGTTCAGGGAGGTGAAAATTCCTCTCAGGCCTCGGTTGCTGCTGAGAGCTCTCACACAGATCCTCTGAACAAGAAGGTAGAGGTCTTGGTGCAACAGATGCTGTATAAGTATAAGGTGAGGGAGCTCATTAGGAGGTCAGAAATGCTGAAGGCAATCAATAAAAGGTACAAGGCGCAATTCCCTGAGATCCTCAGGAGAGCCTCTGAGCTCATAGAGATGGTGTTTGGCCTGGTCCTGAAGGAAGTCAGGCCCAGCAGTCACTCCTATATCCTGGTGAGCAACCTAGATCTCAGCGACAGTGAGTCTATGAGAGGTGACCGGGGGCTACCAAAGAATGGTCTTCTGATGCCTCTGCTGGGTGTCATCTACCTGAATGGCCACCGCCTCTCTGAGGAGGAGGTCTGGAAGATCATGAATTTTCTGGGCGTCTATGATGGAAGAAGGCACTTCATCTTTGGAGATACCAGGAAGTTCCTCACAGAAGATCTGGTGCGGGAAGGGTACCTGAAGTACCGCCAGGTGCCAGGCAGTGATCCCCCTCGCTATGAGTTCCTGTGGGGTCCGAGAGCGCTCATGGAAGCCAACAAGATGAAAGTCCTGGAGTTTTTGGCCAAGGTCAATGATACAGTCCCTGCTACCTTCCTAGAGCATTTTGAGGAGTCTTTCAGACAGGAAGAAGAGAGCACCAGGGCCAGAGATGTAGCCAGTGTTGGCACTTCTGCCTCGGGCAGCGCTGGCACGTCTGTCTGGGATACTGCTGGCACTTCTGCCTCGGGCAGGGCTGGCACGTCTGTCTGGGATACTGCTGGCACTTCTGCCTCGGGCAGGGCTGGCACGTCTGTCTGGGATACTGCAGGCATTTCTGTCTCGGTCTGGGAACGCCCTTCTGCTGCAGCCCAGGCTGAGCATCCTGCTGCAGCGCAGGCTGAGCATCCTGCTGCAGCCCAGGCTGAGCATCCTGCCTCAGCCATGCCTGGCCTTTCTGCTGCAGCCAGTGCTGGCCCTTCTGCCTCGGCCAGTGCCCAGGCTAGGGCCGCATCCAGCCGGTCATCTCGCCCCTAGTGTGGTCTGAAGGCTGTTCTTCACTTTGTGGTCAGAAAAGCCTGTCATCATCCTGTGTTCCTGTTGACTTGCCCCCTGCCCCCCAGTTTTCAGTTCTTTCTTTTTTCAACAGAAAGTGTATTTAGGTTCATGATACAAGTATTTGAATAACATGGGTCACACACCCTTTGCTGTTTGTCAGATTTATGAGTAGGAATTTTGTTTTTGGAAATGCGTATTGGAAATCCTCAAATCACTTTTGTGATCCCGGATGAGAATAACATCACTTTAGGATAAGAATATCCTTAGAAATGTGAAAGATGCCACACTAATAGAAGCTCAGAACATAGATACATAGAGAGATAGCTGAAAGTTCTTCAATTTTTGGTTTGCTTTACTCTCTGTTATAGTCTCCTTTTTTGTAAATGTATAAGATATATACTTGGATCTGCTTATGGTTTTCAAGAATGTTTGAGAATATAAATTATAGCAAATGATTTATTTGTGGCTCTTCTTTTACACAAACATTAATTGAGCATCTGCTTCAAAGAAGTCTTTCAGGCCTGTACTGACGCTGTTTAGTCAAGGAAACTCTCAGTCTGCCCATTCAATTATAGTTTCCAGGGAAGCTGTCAATTCTGTGGAAGAGGCTGAGATGCTCTCTACCTCAAGAAGAACAAGAAAGAAGCAGGGTAGAGAGGGGGTGGAGAGAATATATTACTTTGGTTTCATTGCTAAGCAGAATTTTGCCTGATTGCAGAGGTGGGGTCATTTTTGTTTTTCTTTCAGTTAGAACGCTGCATAGTTTCTTACATCTCATAGATGCAGAAAAAGAAAAGAAACCCAGCTGATGTAACATCTGAGATCAAGTTCATCATAATAACTGTGATTGCCCATAATTTCACAACAGAGGCAGGTGCTGTGATAGATGGTTTCCATAAATACATATATTCCACCAGTCTGACAAGGCAGGGTTTATAAAACTCACTTCACAGTGGAGAGCCCGAGGCTCATAGAGTTAGAGTTTGGTTTTGTGCCAAACTACATAAGGCTGGTCAATGACAGAGCTAGGACTAGACTCCTGCTCTAAACTACTGTAGCATACATACTGTTCTTCTCCCACGACCCTGAGACATACCCTTGTCTTTTCTTTTAAACAAGTATATTTAATATTTGACATTTCATTTTCTATTTCTTATTTATTTATTTGGCTGTGGTGGATCTTATTTGCGGCATGTGGGGTCTACTTCCCTGACCAGGGATTGAACCTGGCCCCCCTGCACTGGGAGCCTGGGTTACTAGCCACTGGACCACTAGGAAAGTCCCCACCCTGTATGTTTTATTTCAGTGTTTTTCCCAATACTTCAAAATTTGTCCTAGGTGATAAAAAAGAATGCCCTTGTGCTCAAGCTCCTGGATCAGAATGTGTAGCCAGAGCAGTAAGAGTACCAAATGCATTTAACCAGAAATGTGTATCCCTTATTCATTACTCATAGATAAATGAAAGAGACAATATTTAGTGACAGTATTAGCATGTGCATTGGCCATGTGAGATAACCTCTGAAGACCAGGAGCTCTCCATATCATGCCTGCAGTCTCTTGTCTGTAGAAAGTAAATCTATCAGAACAGAAATGACGTGAGAACCTTCACCTGGCTGATGAGATAGATTGATGTACTTTTTTCCCCTGACGGATGACCACCTGTCCTGGGACTCCTGCCTTTGGCTGTAGCTTCTCCATCTCCTATCACTCCTGGGAAAAGGACCCATGCATTCTCTGTAGCACTGCAGAGCAAGCACGGCTCCAGAGTTTGCAGAGATGTGGAATTTCCCCAGAAGCCTTTAATGCAAGACCCAGAAAGCAAGATGAGGACCCCATGTAGGAGGATTGAGGAGAGCAACACCCCAGAATATGGGGGTTGATCACTGAAACAGCACTCCCAACTGCTGTCAGTCACAGGGGATCTCAGACCTCTTAGGCTAAGCATAGCCTTGCTTATTTTTCAGGCCTCTGAGACCTAAGAAACTTGGTCTCGGAGCAGCGTTCTGAGGTTGGTAAGGGAGAGATCAGTCTCTCAGAAATGACAGTGATAAAGCTGAATGAGGGTGATGGAAAGATGCAGCGACATAGTAGGAACATGTAAAGATATACCTGTCCTTGTTGGCAGGCGCATGGAGTCCAGAACTATCTGGGCTGCTGTGGTCAACACTTTCAACTCCGGTCCCGGGAAAGTAGGGACTTTGGGAATCAGCAGAGGATAGAGCAGCCCCAGGAAGGGTGCAGAGTCAAAGTGAAGACCCAGGGTATGGACATGGAAGCCCCTCAACTCACAGCCAACAGGGCTACACTTGGCCCATCTTCTCCAGTGAACCCTGGGAGGCAGAGAGGGAAGTGCTGGCCAGGTCAAGGGCCCGCAGACTTCTGCCTTGGAGGGTGTCAAGGAGGTGAGGACCTTGGTTTATAGACTGGCTGTTCAGCAGAGTGGAAATGCCAGGTATGCCAGGGGCACACTCTTGTCTGAGGAGTGGAGCAGGCAACTACCCCATTACAGATAAATTCTTAGAAAATCCTGCAAATGTAATGGGGCCTGGGAGGGAACAGGCAGGACTTTCAGACTTGGTTTATCCCTCATTTTCTGAAGGCGAATGGCTTCAGGGCCTTACAGTCCTTGGACTAGTGCAGGAGGCCCCATTCAGTTGAGGTCGGGTACCCAGTTCCGAACAGGAGTCAACTGATGGCACTGGCTGACAATGAAGGATCCCTCCCAGAAGGAAGGGGGGGGGCGCCACGGAGGGCACTGTCCCTGTCAGGCCTGAGACTCTGACACTTAGGCCTGGTGATGTGGTGAGTGCTACTCACTTCCTCCCAGAGCGTCTCGTGGAGGGAAGGAATCTCAACCTGGTCAATGGGAGCAGCCACAGCTCAGCAGAAGGACGATTTCCAGATTGCACCCGAAGCCAAGGTAAGGACCCTGATGACTGAAAAGCCCATCTGTCTCAAAACAATAGGGGCAGAACATATTCCTTCCACTGCTGTTAGCCTCGGAAGACCACAGTCTGTGGTGACCCGATGAGGCAAATTCCACTTGTCCCTTGGGGGTCTTGGGGAATTGGGGGCCTGAGGAGAGAAGCCTTAAGGCAAATCAGGGAATATTTCCAGGTTATTTCCAAGTCAGGGTGAGGACGGTAAAACTGTTTAAACACACATACCAGGATGGCCACACAGAATCTTCCCTACTGTCAGACTAGAAGGCCACAGGTAGAGTTGTCAGGCCAAGGGCCCCTTCAGTTCCTACTGTGTAATAGCAGGAAAGTTGGGGTTTTGGTCTGATGGTGGTGGTCCCAAGTCAACAGAGGGGGGAGTTTTGGGCTTGGCTAAGAGTCAAACTTTGGACCCTGACTTGGGACCCTGAGAAGAACTGTCTGTCATCCTCAAGAAGCTTGTCACAGCTTTCATTCTTGTGAGACTATGGGCAGGTGTGGCTAGATAAGGCCACCCTGTTTCCTCCTCCATGCTCACAGGGAGGTATGGGTCTTACTATGAGGAGGTAGGCCTCAGGTCAAGAAGGAGGGGATTCCCCAGGCCTCGCCAGAAGTCAAATTGTGAAGCCTGAGTGAAGATTGAGGGGTCTACTCATCCCTGAATAGAGGGACAAAAGAGAGTCATGCCCTACCCTTTGATTTCAGTTCTAGAAAGCTCAGGGGAAGACTGTCAGGCAAGGCTCTCACTCACTTCTTTATACCAGGCCTTCTTGTTGTTGAATTGCTAAGCCATGTTGGACTCTCTTGTGACTCCATGGACTATAGCCCGCCAGGCTCCTCTGTCCATGGGATAATCCAAGGAAGAATTCTGGGGTGGGTTGCCATTTCCTCCTCCAGGGGATCTTCCTGACCCAGACACTGAGTCTGCGTCTCCTGCAGCTGCTGTATCACAGGCGGACACTTTACTGGTGAGCCACCAGGGAAGCCCTGTATCAGGCCTCAGGGAGGCCAGATCTTCGTTGGAAAGTACAGCCACCAGTCATGAGAAAGGAGGGATATGGTGCCTGCCAGGCACTGTGGCAGATGCTTTACAGTTACCACCACATGCCACCAGTCCTTCCAGGCCGGGCTTGCCAAACTCCCTTCAGAGTTAAAGAGCCCAAGGCTCTCTCAGAGAGTTTAATGGTGTGACAAACTTCCCGTAGCTGCTTAAGTGACAGGGATGGTTGCAGGCCCTTGATCTGAGTTAGTCTAAAGCTCACCCTCTCACTCCTGCAAGCCTGAGCTGACCTTGTACCCTTAATTCCCTTCTTATTCTCATTACTGTGAAATGTATTGGAAGCAATAAAAGAAAAACTCTAAGGGTGAACTATTACATTGTAATACATAACCAGAGCAATAATAATAATAATGCCAAAACAAATGTGACATATGAAGAGAGGAAAAAAAGAGAAAATATTTGCTGGCAATAAGATCATCTATGCATACATATGAGGTTTCAGATAAGCTTAAAAGACCAAGGACTCACAAAACAATCATCACATAGCCATTTCTTTATATAAAGAAATCTCTGTTAGATCTAAAATATAACGTTTATTTATTAGAGGTTGCCTGAAACATCTGGCTGAAGGAGAGAAGAGACAGGTTACCACGTTTTGTTTCTCTCACAGGTCTCTGCCTGGGTCCCCTTACTTATGCCATGGATTTCCCATCTCATGTCACTCCTAGGACAGGGATTCGTTCTCTGCAAGGTTTGGAGTAGGGAAACTGATCGGGGCTTTTCAGGGATGTGGCATTTCCCAAGAAGCCTTTAATCAAAGGGGCAAGGGCCTATAGGAGGACACCCATAAGTCTGGACTGAGGAGAGCACCCCCAAGAATATTAGGTGTAAGAAGCTTCCAGGGAGAGATCTCAAGGTGAACATCTCTTTTCTCTGTTGTCACAGTACAGTTGTCAGGGACTTGAAACCTTTGGTCTAAGGAGGGCAATCTCAGGTCAGAGTAGGAATTGTGTGATATATATGTGAAGCCCCTTATAAAG